CATGTCTGTTTGCCTTCTAAATGCATCTAGAAGTTTTTCAAAGTTCACTATGTTCTAAATGTGTTCATCATAATGAGTTACACATTGAATGTGACCATGTCATGGGTTTAAGTCATGTGAGTGGCCCCTTGTCAAAGTAATAAGAGTTGCCCCTTACTTTGCATGGCTTCCCCAAACCTTCACTACGAGGACATAAATGTCCATCAGGTTACCCCAATGGGTTTTCACATAAAAACTCGATATAAAAGTGAGACAAAATATTATATTACATCTAACATATGCAAAAGAAAATGCATGTTTAAGAAGAAGTTAATGAGTCAAAATGGTCATTGACTCATACAAATTTTGAAATAACTCACTCTAATTTTTAATCATTCGACTAAAGGATACAATTGGATCCAACACATTGTAAATTGTTGGTCTTAGCATTGATAAATAGAAAATCAATATCCATCTTCTAAAGTATGAGAAGAAATATTCCCTTTCTGTTGTGCCTTAGGAATATAGTAGAAGGCATGTAAGTTATATCTCATAGTTTACTCCTTGGCAATAATAGAATGAAGACTTGTCTATGCTAAGGATATAAAAATATAGATATCTCATTTTTTAATGCAATGTGTCATGTGAGAACTCATCTACCAAAATGCGGATCATTTAAGTAATTATAATTTGGTAGAAATTTACTCATGCTATCTATTTTTCTGTTACATAAAAATGTTACATCTGCAAAACTTCTAGCAAAACTTATTTATTTAAGGCCCACCACCCAACCAATCAAGTCTATATGACTTGTTACTGCTAGACAGTTCTCATCAAAAGTACTTGATGATTATTACATATATGTCGAGATCAATGAACAGATCTCGCATCCCATGTGAAAAATAAGATCTCAATGAAATTAAACTCACATCTAAAAGAATATAGATGGTGAATATTATATCTACTATGCGCACATGTATATATAATTATTTTCATGGGATTATGCAATATTGCAAGCACTCCTACACATTTGTTTTTAGACCAATATTAGACAACCACTTTTATGTATACCAGTTGGTGACTGAATCGTAGCTTGAGATGTTCTACGTATACATATATGGTTGCTAACTAATTGTGCCTAATGCGTCTCCCACAGCGCACTATAATTGGTCATAAAAAATAAATGATTTTTTGTTGGATACGAATCTCCAACAATAGCCCGCTATTAGCCTAAACAGATAATGTGTGCACCGCTTTGCGGAATATCACTTTGATGAGACAATTGATTTTCCTGTCATTAGCGGAAGATTAGAGAAAGAACTCTCTAATTGAATGACAAAATCATTATGATGGAACATCACTACTTTGTCTCAATGATAAATCTTAGACTTCAAAATGTAACATTGAAGTTAAAATGTTTATCAATTATCATAAATGGTTTAAGTAATCAGATTATACACACTAGCTGCAAACATATGTATAAGGCTTGAATTTAAATTAAAAGACACAATGCTAAAGGAAGAAGCATTGCAATCACAAATAGTGGGTAGATAAGGCACAAACCAATATACTCGTCATCATATGAATTCCTCTCATGAGATTATCGCTCACTAAACATGTCCATGAATCAATAATGAGGGACGCCCTGAAGTTTAAGTGATTCCAGAGAATTAAAATCTCAATGTTAATGAGAGTGTGTCTGAGTCGAATGGTAGACCTTACATTTATATTGACGATATATTTATACAGTTGCTCAAAGGAGTATAGAGCACGATGATATCGAACCATACTCTATTGCAATATGAAAGCAATGAGAACATTGGCCTAAATGTGTAAAAGTAATCCAGGTATAAATTTAATATTTGACAAAGAGACATGTATTTGGTGTGATAGTGCTAATCAACCAAGTGTAAAGCCTGTAGGACATAAAATAATTCTTTGTTAGAAAGCGTATTGAGATAATGAGGTCCTAATTATTCTCACAACGCCCTGGATTCAAATATGAAAAGTTATACTTCTCTATTTTGAACACAAAAATGTTCAACTACTTAATTAATAAGTAGACTCCAATGTAATGGAGACGCAACTAAAGATTGTGGATATTAAATGTCTCAATAGAATTTCATTAAAGAGATGTATATGAAGTATTTGTTATGTTTTTATTATCTTTAATGAAGTGGTTTTTAAATTACATTGTATATTTACATTGAAACGTTCACATTTGGATTAAATCAATCCAGACGAGAGTGACATACCCGTCTAAGTGACCACTTGATTGAAAAGGGATAGAAAAAGATAGATTGTGTTTTCCCTCCAAGCATCATTATATGTCGAAGATATAGACATGATATGTACTCATATTAAAGAAAATGAGAAATCGTAGATACTTGAAAGTCATAATTGAGATAAAGGATTTTGGGAAACTCGAGTTGTTTTGAAAACACCGTGTTGGTTGAATAATAATTCACCAGTTGCATATATCCAAAAGGGTTCTCATGCAAATTAACATGGATAAATGTAAACTGTTAGCACTCCCATGATCGGTCGAAATATGGATACTTGAAAAGATCCAAGTTATTGGGAGAAGGAATTCTCTATGTAAGTGCAATATGCATGTGGTTGTACTTTGACAAACACATTCGACCAATTATTACATTCTCAATAACGTGTTAGCTAAAAATAGCTCAGGGCCAACACATCGTATATCGTCATTGGAATGGTATCAAGAATGTACTTTGATATTGATGGAGTATATGGACCAGGGACCCTCGGCTCACAGACTCCTACTACTCTAACAAATGCCCAACATGCCCAAGTGTCAAGAAGCCCACGGTGCACACACGGATGCCTTCGGCCCCATGGCCGAGGGCTCCAAAATCTCACAGGACAACTGATTTTAGGAATACAAACCTACTGAGAGAAGACGTCAGAAATCAGGAGCCTTCAGCTCATGCACGCCCTCAACATAAGGATAGCCTTCGGCTACATAGAGCCCTCGGCTACAGCGCAATCATCGAAGATTCCCTTTAGAGACAAGCAACCGCCACATTTAATGCGGCGTCACATGCACCCACCGCATTTAATGTGGTGCACATGCAAATGCCGGTGCCACCCCGATTGAGGTGACCCTCGACCGTTAGATTTTCGACACGTGTCCCTGCCTAGCATTTATTAGTCCTATAAATAGCAGCCCATTCTCCATTTTAAGGCATCATAAGTTTCTATATTCGAATACACTTTCTCTCTCTTACTTATTGCTCTGACTTCTCTCTAAGTTATTCCCGTAATAACCCTCGGATAAGCTACCCCCGGGTACGCTATCCATCAGATATCTATATGAAACGATTGGTGTAATCTTTAATCATCCCTTATAAATTGAATTAAATGATTGATGATAACAATATTTCTAAAGGAAATGAAAACATCATAAGTACTACTCTAATACAAAGTAACGTGATTTGAGTTTTACTATTGATCGAATCCCCTTACCTCATTGATATTTTCTTAATGAGTATATATTTATCATGAAAGTAACCATGATGTTATATATAAAATACCTTGATAAAAGTATATATCAAGTATTTATGTGTTTCGCTTAGTAGGGGGGTCCTTACATACTTATTTATTATCAAGTATATTGGTGCGTTGTGCTCTTTTTCTCTTTTGATCAACGTTTATTTTTTCCCACTGGGTTTTTTTACTTGGCAAAGTTTTTTTAATGAGACAACATAATTAATACTCCCTCCGTCCCGGAAAGGTTCGCCAACTTTGACTTTCACGTGGATTAATAAAGTAAAAACTATGTGGTTGAAATTTGTGCAGAGGGGGGAGAATTAACTTTAGCCACATATTCCTTAGTTTAAATGGAAATGACAAATCTTTTTGGGACATCCAAAAAAGGAAATTCGGCAAACCTTTTCGGGACGGAGGGAGTATATCACAGTCAAAAGTAATTGACGCGGGCTTATTATTGCATCATTTTTTTCCTTTGACCGATGTTTATTTTCTCCCATTGGGTTTTGTTCATTGGCAAGGTTCTAGCAAGTTAATGAAATTTACACTTATCACCTTACACTTGGCACACAGGGGGAGAATTAAAGAAATTATTATATTCCTCTATTTGTGTGTCTTCGTTATAGGAATTAATGTAAAACATATTGAAATGCATAGACTTTCCATAATATCTTTGATTAATGTAAATATTAAGGGTAAGTGTATGTGTGAGGGGGAGTCTCCCACCTATACTACGTTACACTCTTTTTCATTAACCAAGTTTTATTTTTCCCGTTGGATTTTGTTACTCGGTAAGGTTTTAATGAGGTAACGATACATGTAAGCTTTAATGATCAAAGAAAGGATCAAATAAAGATACACTTAATGAAAGAAGTCTATCATGAGATTCTACTCTTTTGTCTAGTCAAAGTTATTTTTTCCCACATGATTTTTGTTACTTGACAGAGATTTGACGAGACAACAAGACTGATACCAAATTATATCTACAACTCAACACAAAGGGGAGTGTTGAAGGAAATTTTATGTAGTGTGCTATCGTGTATATAGAATACTATCCTCTGTATCGCATTAATTGTAACATTGGAATATATACTTTATTCATGTACTTTACTTTGAGTACATTTTATTTATTAATGTAAACTATCTATATATTAGATTATCTGATGTAAACTATGTATCATGAGCCCATTGGCTCATTCTTATAAACCCTAATAACTCTCTATTTATAGGGCATTCGGTAATGAAATTTGATAAACTATTCCCCTATGAAACAAGAAGTAATTTCGGAGTATTTGACATCTTGCCATATTTTCGTTCACCCCAAAATTGAAAAAACTTGACTGAATTATTCTCAAGAGGGCATTGACGTGAATATCTGTGGTTACTGGCCAAGCGTTTTAGTGTTCCCCAGTATTCGCACACCTGGCACTCCCTCTCGCCATTCATCAACTTCACTCTTGCAGTTTCCTACCATCTCCCTCTCATCAATAATTTATTTATGCAAATACAAATTCTGCCCCCACCTCTCCCTCCTCCATAACCTAATCCACACACATATTTCTCTGCCTTTTTTGGTGCTTTCCATATCTGGCTTGATTTTCCTCCTTCTCTCCTTCATACAGTTGCAATTTCCCCCCTCAACCTGTCTCACTTCAGTGTAGCACAGAGGATGAAGATCTGTGAGCTTTGCAGAGCTGCGGCGATGGTCTTTTGCGAGTCGGATCAAGCCAATCTGTGTTGGAGCTGCGACGCCAAGGTTCACTCCGCCAATTTTCTGGTGGCGCGGCACTCACGCTGCCTCCTCTGCCACGTTTGCCAGTCTCCGACGCCGTGGTCCGCTTCTGGCTCCGATCTCGGATCTACGGTCTCGGAGTGTGAAAGATGCTTGCGCGGAAGTCCGAGAACTGAAATCGAGGCAGATGTGATCGGAGATGAGTGCGACGACGATGAGGAGGAGGATGATGAAGTGGACGAGGAAGAAGAAGAAGAAGAAGATGATGATGATGATGATGAAGCAGATTCGGAAGATATTCAGGTGGTTCCGTGGTCGTCGACACCGCCTCCGTTCCCGGCGACTTCATCCAGCAGCGATGACTCCTTGCTCACTGACAGAGATGTTTCAGATCTTAAATATTGGGTAACTATTTGCTCTTGTATCATCACTCTGTCTCTCAATTGTTTACAGACACGAGGCAGTCCTTCCATTTATTTAGTTGTTTACATTGTGAAAATCGACATTGACATACTTCGTTTCTGATTTTTTTCAAAGATCCGTGCCTAATTTTTTCGTTCACAGGATAATCGCCGCAGTGTGTCCTCCGACCTGGACGCCAGCGTAACGGGAGAGGCGTCGGCGACTTGCAGAAGCGTCATTGACTTGAACGAGACTTCAACGCCTGACACCGGAAGGCCGGCGAAGATCCAAAGAAGAGCAACCAATGGAACGGGTCGGGTCGATAGGTCCGGCTTGAGATCGTCGCCAAGTGTGGACGCATTATCGCGATTTCATCGCCCATCAAGTCGGGATCGCACTATCGTAAATTTCGACTTTTCTGAAACTTCCTAGCCACTGGTCCACTTGATCAACAATTTTCAATTTCTTGTAGTGCTCAGTTCTTCTATCTCATTCAAATTATTTTTAAGATGTGCAATTCTTAATTTATAATTTTGTACGGTATGAGATATTTTAGTAACTTGTATATTTTCTCTAGAAGAGTAGTGCTACAATGGCCTTGCACCCATGCCTTATTCCACTCATAAATAAGGTTACCAGTTTACCGCTATATCATCCATTCTAATTATATTTCATTATCATTTTTTATTGATCCAAAAAGATTATCACTTAAATTTTTAAGTAATGAATTATAATTTGTTCTCGGACTTTACGCAGTCACAGCCAAACAACCAGATTTCAAAACTTTAAACATGCCATCAAAGCAAAAGTAAAAGACATGATATGTTGACGCAGTTCGGAAGAAAAACTTCCTAATCTGCGGGGTTTCAACAGGGGAAACCCGGTCCCAAACAGATCCACTAGTTCAGAAGAGTTTTCACAATCAAGATGGTTGCAAAGCAATTAAACAAAGACCAGTAACTACAAACAATTAATAGACCAACGACTCATAACGAATAAAACAAGAGAAAGTTCAGAGTTAACTGAAATCGAATCCAGCAAGGAATTCGAATGCAGAAGAAGACTCTCGGATGAACCAACAGACAACTCCAATGGACATGTTTCCTCCTTTCTCACTATCGTCACAAGAAGATGGCCTCAATCGCAGCGGTTCACAGATCTTACACTCCCTCAAGTTTCTCTCTAAGGTTTTGAAGTATGCAGCGGAACAGTGCAGAAGGGAGGATAAAGGATATATAAATATCCTTCCAATGGAGCAGATAAGCCAACAAAAAATACCGGACCCAAAAAATAGGCCCAATATAAGAGGCTAAACCAGACAGGCCCAACACAATAACCCAAAAGACTCTTACAAGAGATAACCCAAGAAAATTAAGCCAAATCTAATTGCTTGCCATCCTATCTTAATTATAATGAAAGAACATATGAGAGAATTAGGATTATATAATATCCCAACAATTTACCCTCCTAGGACTCATTCTCATTCAGGTATCTCCAAAAGGGAGTATCATCATAGCTAGTTTGCAGGATCTGTGAGACGTGAATTTCCCCATTCATCATCAACACAGTTTGAAACCTTTTATCAAGGTACCTCAAAGATTTTGAAGAAGCTCCTACAAAACAAAATTATCAGTAGAGACAATTTTAGTTCCAAAATCAGCAGGATTTACATCTCCTAATATATTTTCCACATTAATATTGCCCTTGGCAATTTCATCTCTTATGTAATGAAACCTTACATCTATATGTTTGGTTTTCTCATGATACATAGGATCTTTGCAAAGGTAAATAGCACTTTGACTATCAGAAACATACCTTTAAGTCATTTGGCTTCTTTAATGGCCTCAATGGCAGCAACATATTCAGCCTCAGTAGAGGACAAGGCCACAACAGATTGCAATTGGAATTTCCAAGAAATACAATTTCCAGCCCAGGTAAAGAACCAGGAAGTGGTACACTTTCTGGTGTCTTTACAACCATCATAACAAGAATCAACAAATCCTTTAAGGTCTAAAGAAGAGCTAGAATTGTACTTGAGAGCTAGGTTTTTAGTTCCAAAAAGATACCTAAGAGTATACTTCATAGCAGTCCAATATCTTTCCTAGGGTCAGACATGAATCTGCTAAGAACACTCACAGCAAAAGCAAGGTCTGGTCTCGTACAAATCATAGCATACATCAAAGAGCCAGAAGCAACATCATAAGGGATTTTATCCATTTTCTTAGATTCCTCCAAAGAAATAGGATAATGATCCCTATGAAGATCCAAATTCCCTCCTAGAGGGATAGGAGTGTGTTTAGAACCATGCATGTTAAACCTATCCAAATTTTTTGACAGATAACTGCTTTGAGATAAGAACATGCACTTTTCAGGTCTATTTCTGTTTATGTCAATATTATTCCCAAAATTCTTTTAGCAGGTCCTATGTCTTTCATGTCAAAATGTGTTTTTAGATAATTTTTCACACTAACAACCAGCATTTTGCAAAGACCAATTATGAGGATATCATCAACATATAACATAATGTACACAGCAGTATCAATACCAACATGCTTGAAGTACAAACAAGTATCATATTTGCTTTTAAGAAAACCAGTTCACTCATGCAAGCATCAAATTTCAAGTTCCATTGTCTAGGAGACTATTTTTAACCATAGATTGATTTTCTTAACAAGCAAACATGATCATGATTCTTTTTACTCTCATATCACGGAGGTTGAGACATGTAAATAGTTTCATTTATATCTCCATGTAAGAACGCAGTCTTAACATCCATTTGTTCTAATTCCCAATCGAAAACATGCAGCAGTCATAGCAAGCAAGAGTCTCAAGGTTTTGAATTTGATTACAGGAGCAAAAATATCTTGGTAATCAATCCCTTTCTTTTGTTTAAAACCCTTAGCAACAAGCCTAGCTTTATACTTAGGGGGGTCAGTGGGATCAAGACTATATTTTATCCTATAAATCCATCTACAATCAATGACCTTAGCACCTACAGGTTTAGGGCCCAGAGTCCAAGTTTGATTAACAAACATAGATTGCAATTCTTCTTGCATAGCTTTAACCCAATCATTCGACTTGGAACTCTTAATAGCTTGCTCAAAAGTTTCAGGAATATTGTTTTTAACAATTTTAGAAGCTCTAAAGATAAACTCGGCTAGGTTAGAAATGTATTTCCTATTATGAATAATATTTCTAGGTTCTCTGTCTCTAACAAGTTGATAATGAGCTAAGTTTGGTTCTTCCTGTTCATTAGAGGCATTTCCATTAAGATCAGTTTCACGAGTATTTACATTTACATCAGGCAAAACAGGCACATCATGCAAATTACTCAAATTATCAAGTGAGGGTAAGGTACTACCTTCCTGATTTGAGTCAGTATTAAACTGTCCAATACTTTCTGATGAATCATCTTGGTCAGATTCTGACAAAGATTGATCATCATTACCTTCATGAAGTCCTCCAACATCAAGGTCACCTTCAGACAGATTCTCAGTGCCTAGAGAATCAAAGAAGTTACCGTCAGAATCATCTGTTATGTCACTAGAAGATGCATTAACACTTTTCAAGTGAAATTCAGATTCATTAAATGTAACATCTCTAGAGATTATGCATTTATAAACTCCAGGTTGAATCAGAAGGAGTTTGTAACCTTTCACACCTTCAGGATAGCCAATCATAACACATTTAATGGCCCTAGGTTCTAACTTACCTTGAGAGACATGAGCGTATGCAGTACACCCAAAAGGCCTTAAATGAGTTATGTTTGGCTTCACACCAGAACACATCTCCCGGGGGGGGGTTTGAAACCCACCACAGAAGATGGTGATCTGTTGATCAAGTAAGTAGCCGTAACAACAGCTTCACCCACATTGAATTTTTAAGACCAAATTCTATTAACATACATCTAGCCTTTTCAAGAATAGTTTTGTTCATTCTCTCAGCAGTACCATTCTGCTGGGGGGTACCTGGGACAATTAATAACCTTTTAACCCCTTCAATTTTACAGAAATTATTGAAAACATGGTTACAAAATTCAAGACCATTATCAATTTTCAAAGATTTCAGTTTAAACTTGGATTGAGACTCGACCAGGTTTTTCCAGATTTTAAAACTGTCAAAAGTTTCATCTTTGGTTTTTAGTAAGTAAACCCACACTTTCCTATAAAAATGATCAATAAGAGATAGAAGATTTTTTCTTCCTCCTAAAGTTCCAATTTTAGAGGGCCCCCATAGGTCAGCTTGGACCAATTCAAGGGGTTGAGAAGCAGCATAGGTAGATTTACCAAATGAGTGTCTAGTTTTCTTACCAAAAATACAGTTTTCAAAAAAATCAATTTGGCTTGGTTTAAAGTCAATCATTCCATTTTTAAACAATTTGTTAGGACCCACATTACCAATGTGACCTAACCTTTTGTGCCAGACCTGAGTTTGTTTTTGAATAACGTTGTTAGTATCAGGGGAAACTATATTCAGCTCAGAGGATCCTTCAACAATGTAAAGGCCTCCTTGCTTAACAGTTTTGATAAGATGACTATCATTTCTGGAAACCATCTTAATGCCAACCTGAGTAACAATACTACAACCTAACTCATCAAAAATAGATTCAGACAACAAGTTTCTTCTCAAATAAGTAACCCATCTCACATTTTGAATAACCCTTACAACTCCATCAAACATCCTTAGAGGCACATTACCTATGCCCTTAATATCCAAAACAGTATTGTCCCCCAACATCACTTTTCCCCCATCACACAATTGTAATGAAGAAAAAATTGAATTATTGGGGGTGGCATTTAATGTACAACCGTAATCAAGGATCCACTCATTTTTCGAAGAAGAATCAGAACAAACAAGAAATTCATGTTGTATTATGTTGGCAGACTCAGTATTAGAATTAGGATTGACAGTAGGTTTGGAGTCACCTTGTTTATCCCTTTTCTTTTTCCTACAGTCTCTAGCAAAGTGTCCCTCTATGCCACCATAGTGACACTTAAACCCTTTCCTATCATAATTTTCCTTGACATTTTGTTTCTTCTTTTTAGAGCCATTTTTCTTTCCTTTCATCTTGCCCTTCACAATTAAAGCTTCAGTTTTAGTTTCATCCTTTTCATTATTAGAATGATCAGACTTAGACTTAAACACTTTAAGAGTTTCATTTTTCTCAAGTATAGCATCTATGATCTTACTAGGGGTGAGATCTTCATTAGAGTACTGAATGACATCCTTAAAGTTATCGAATTGAGAAGGTAAAGAATTCAGGAGAATGACAGCTTGATGAGTATTTTTAATTTTTTCATCTACCTTCTCAATTTCTTGTGTCATTTTTAGAAAATTGTCCAAATTATCAGAAAGAGACACAGAAATGTTCATCTTAAAAGTGAACAACCTACATAATAGAGAGATTTTTCTAGACATAGACTTTTTCATGTAGGTTGATTCCAGGGTATTCCATAACTGTTTAGGGTTTGTTATAGTTGAGAATTTTCTAGCAAAATTATCAGATAAGTGAATTATCAGTTCAGAGTAGGCACCATTCTTTAATTCAATTAGATCAGACTCGTATATTCCAGATATTACAGCATCAGAAACATATTTGAAGCATTTTTGCTTCATCAACAGAGCCTTCATCTTAAGCTGCCACATGGGGAAG